GCTCCGCCCGGTTTATCGAGATTTCAACCCTTCTGGCAGCTTCTATATCCCTGCTGGAGAACAAGTATAGCCGCCTGTTGCAGCTACCGAGATGTTCTGCTGGAATGGAATGACATTGGCAAAGAGAGCTCAAGAATGATCGCATGGTAGAATCGACGTCATGTCTCCAAGCTGCGACAGGTTTGGCACCGGTCAGCTTGAGAAAAGTGCAACAATGATGCTGCGCATAGGACTTGATGGACTGAGAAACATAAGGATGATGGAAGAAAAATGAAGAATGAAGACATACTGTACCGAGCGCCTTTTTCCTGACAGACGTAAAAGGCGGAAGGAGCTCAAGAGGACGATAATGTTTCGGGAGGGCTATACAAATGGAGGTCAGGTTTTAGTACCCACTGGAGACGGATCAACATACCTCTGTCCCTCTATTTCAACGCCCTCTGATAAATATCCAGCCCAACGACGTCGACAATAGCGACAAGGGCTTCTGCAAGCCACCGCTTCACAATCTCTGTATCCCGTCCCGCAATTCTAACAATCGTCCCATGCTCGTCGATAGGGCTCATGGACCACAGAAGCTCCGCCGGTCGTGAACATTTCATCACAGAGATTTTCGAGTATTCCGCTGCGAGATGTTCAACGACATTATGGACAAGGGGTCCACAAAGGATGAGGGTAGCATAGCAAGAATAAGGTGCGAGCTTTTCGGCTAGTCGTTCGGATTCCAAGAGCATCACGTCTTTGGCGACACGTTTTCCGGCAATGATGACCTCGTTAACGCTGTAATAGCGCGAAAATGCCCAGTTCTCGCCAAGAGCCTTGCGGCCAGAGGTTATCCAGTCGAGAAGGATGAGGGAAGAATGAGACCCGAGCGTAAAGGTCTGGATTTGGTTGTACGAGGCATCTCGAAAACAGGTTACTGGGTCGGGAAGGAGAAATAGGGCAGCGCCAGCCGTGATTTCGAAGGAAAAGCGCTGGGTCGTCGTCCTGGTAGCCTCTGAGCTGGGATGAACAGACGCCATTCGTTGGTCTGGTCGTGATTTGAAGACTTTTGTGGATCCCTGGGGTAATTCAGATTGAAGATGCAACAAAAACTGATGCCAGCCAGACCTGGGATAGAAGAACAAGAGCTGCAGCATCTCCGACATCTACAGCAAGATTGACCTGGTCCCCGCCGACAAGTCCACCACCATAGCTGAGGATGTAAGCAACCGCGACGCGTTCCTGGGCTGTCTGAGGCGATAGAAGCTTCAAAGGATATGTCGACGATAATTGAGAGAAGATGGCTTTTTCTCCGTAGCAGCCAACCGAGATTCGACCACTTCCTGGCTGAATTTGAGCTATCGAAGACATGGATGCTCGTATCTCTGTCAACAAAGCGAGATGATTATCATCCTGATGACAGCAGACCCTGACGTGATCCAAATCGGGACTTTGCTCCCAGCCATCACGCCGCTTTTCTTTCCCTGAATCTGGCTGGCCAAACAGCCCATTATATAAATCCATTCTGTGATTATAAAAGGTCAAGGATCGACTTTTGTTCGCCATTTACACGCTGATGCTGCTTATTAACAGCGTTGGGCATGGACCCACTTCTGGAGACAATTCAAATGCAGTCGTCGCTGGGCCGAAATGCCTCTGCCGCCGTCGGACACCTTTTATCTCAAGCTTCCCAGCTTCCATGCTCTACAGCTGCTCAAGCTTTTACGCAGCTCGTCCAACCGACAGCCCGATTTCAGCTGGCTCTTGACGCGCTGTTGCCGATTCTCGATCCGGCTTGTCCATCAGCAGTCAGTTTTCTTCGATAAATAGAACCAAGTCTCATTGGTGTTATAGGTCGAGGACCGTATCCTTGTGTCCTTCATTCTATATGCTCTCTATGCCCCTCACCCCATCACGATAAACCCCTTCAAATCTGTCCTTTTCGCCGCATTCGTCAAGGAGAAGAAACGCGCCGTTGACAAGGAGGAGAACATAGAAGAGGATAATGGAGAACAGCAGCTTTCTTGGGTGCTGTGGAAAATTCTCAAAGGAGACGGGAGCGACGTACGTCCTTGTGACTCACCGATTTCTTCTACTGACTTTTCGAGCAGATCGCGCCTTATTCTCCACGAACGCTGGCTCGCTCGCCTCTGCCTTCCAAGCTCAAAGCACCGAATCTCGAGCTTGATGAAATTTTGTACACCGAAGACTATTATCCTTATTCATCACCAACGCCACCAGAACCAGCAGAATCACCGCCGCCTCAGCGAACCGTGATAACGGCGGAACAGGATCTCCAGAACGAAAGAATTGCCACAGCGATGAAGCTCCTGCTCGCAGCGCGCGAGCGAGTTTTATCAATCGCCGAATGCCGTCTCATTACACCGACATTACCAGCTCTGGCTTCTTCCAACATGATTACGCCTTTGGACCTCTCGCCCGTAATCTCGAACAATCCAACTCTATCTCACCCGCTTTTCGTCGCTTTATTGACCTCAACAAAGCATGAAGCCACGGTTTTCCTCGATATCCTGCCATTTCTCCCTCCGACTTTGTCGACATTCGATTTGATGGGTCGCTTATTGAGGGATTCCACCCCTTTGGCTCGAGACGGTCCGGCGCGAACTGTCGCTGATTTGGTTCGGGGTGAAGCCCTGGGTCGGTTCGTGCAGGAGAGCATTGCTTGGCTCGAGCAAGCGGAGAGGATGGAGAGTAATGATGATAGTTGGGAAAAGGGTATCGCGAATCTGTGCCGGTTCTACCATTCGCTCATCAAGCTTGGTATCGTCGATCCGGCGGTCGATGCTGATACCGCTGAAATGGCGCATTTTAGTCTTCAGCATGCGAGATTCGAGGAAGCTAATGCGGTCTATAGAGCTCTGGCTCTGGGGAGATTTGAGGAGGAAAGAAGAGGCGGGTGACATGTCAGGATGAGGTTCAAAGACACTTTTCTTTATGTAGACTTTTCTTTTTTCATGGCATCGTTTTACACTATATGTTTTCTTATGTCGTTACTGTATGTTCGAGTCGATAGCTCTCTCCCTGTTGTAGCAATCATGAGGAAGCCTTTGTCCTTTCGTTTACAGAGCCAAAGAGGCGCTAAAGTCGAAAGCGCCGGTCAATGCTGCGGTGCTTTTCGCTGCGGCAGAGATGGTTGACCAGTCTGCGCCATTGACTTGAATCTGGGCACATTGTCAGGAATTTCACGACCGTATCAACCCGAGCTAACCTCATAGTCTTCGCCTTGATGTGGATCCGCATTGCTAATGAGCTCCCAGTACAACCAAGGAACCCCGTAACTGTTGATTTTCTGGACATTGGAGTTCAAATTGGCTGTGCGTCCACTGCCAAAAAGGGATCCCCATTCCTCGATGATCAGTTTCTTCCCAGCAGCTTTTGCTTGGCTAACGGCGCTTGGCATGAAAGAATCGTAATCGCTGTGCGATCTTTCAGTGGGTCAACTTTTGAAGGGATACTTGAACCCACTCGTTGTAGTCGTGGATTGAGACGACGTCAACTGCGGTACAAGAACTTCCAAAGAAGAATGATTGAACACTGGCAGATGCTGAACCTCCACCGGTAAATATGAGTTGATTTCTGTCCCCGACGTTGTTGCGAATCTGCTGCGTTGAGACAAGATTATATAGACCAAAGGAATATACCTGTTGTGCTGTGTTACAGATCCAGGCTAAGTTGTTCTGATGAGGAGTAGTATTTAGTGTAAGGTATGCGCCACAGATATCACATTCACCTTGTAAAGTGTCTGATCAAAAATCATGGGTCTACGAGATGAATCTTGGATAGAAGGACAGAGGACCAATAAACCTACTCGTTCTGCGCCTCGAGCCCAAAAATGTATGCGGACAGTTCACTCCATGGCCTGTTTCCCAAGAGAGCATTTTTGTGCACGTTCAAAATATGCGTAATTCGTTGATTAAAGTCGTCGATAGCATCTATACGAGTACTTCGAATTTGTTTCAGACTGGGAGAGACGAATACTCACTGGGATTCGTGTAGAAACCACTTGTGCCGTACTTCTGGCTGTATACATCCCCGGCTAGAAGGCTGTTCTCTAGAGTGGCGTTCAACGAGAGTCCAGGTATGACTAGTGCCACTTACGATCGTACATTCCTAGACAAAAGTACTGACTTTGACACGAGCTTTCAGGATAGTGCCGCCTACGTACCAATGAGGAGTTTTATACCTTTGAAAGAAATCAGCGACAAACAACTCCAGGAAGAAACTGACCTCGCGCATGAGCATCGACCTATTGACTGTCAGATCTCTCTACCGCCAATCTATCGAAACCGACGTACCATCAACTGGTCGATCTGGTTCAGGATTGTATCATCATAATTGCGTATTCCCCCAGCTTCCAGATCATTGATCTGAGTGTTACTACTGGCTTTCTGGCCAGCTGCATGACCGGTCACCCAGGTTCTGAGAACCTAGTACAGTGTTAGAGTCGTTGAAGCTAGGCGAGAGGAAGAGTGAGACCAACTTTCATACCAGCCGCTTGCATTCCGTCCAAAATAGCGTGTCGGTCCGCATCGGGCAAGCTGTAGATATAGTAATTCTGTAGAAACACGATCAATGAATGAGGTTACGGATGAATTTGAGAGACGAACGTTTGCCCCTGCGAAGCTGGAGGCACCGAGAGCGGTTCCAATGAACGAGAGGAGCCAAGTCACTGATACACCAAATTTCATGATGATAGTTTAGATGCAAGTGGTCATCGGTCACGCTCTTTATAAGGACTGGAAACACATGGAAGATCGACCACGCCTGCCCGTTCTGTCCGATGTCTGGGAAAGATCCTGGAGCATCTGGAGAACAAATGACTGCGAATGAAAGATGAACAAAGAACAAATGACCGTCAGTCCACACGGGTGGCGCGATTCTCGTGGTATCGAATCTCAAAGGTGGTCGACAGGTCAGCTGTTCCAGCTCTAAGAAGAACGTATTCGATAGAGGCAAAAGCATTCATAATCAAAAACAAGAACCGATCCAAAAGCAGACGCTGAGAGCAGGGTTTGAACCTACGCGGAGAAACTCCAAGTGATGATGAGAAATTCAAATCACTCGCCTTAACCACTCGGCCATCTCAGCCGCCAGGAGATCGGCGAAGCACAGCCCCAGTCCAATATGTTCATCTTAAACTCAAATTGAAAGTCGTTTCGACGGTTAACATTGGATATATCATCATGACAGTGCCCTTAAGGGGAATTCGTATTGATATTGGCAGTCAGAACATCGATGGCGGCGAGTTGACCCCAACTGGTAAAGGCTTGAGGAGGACCGTGCCAGTTTGACGAATAGGTGGCGCCTGTGGCGGCCAAGTCGAGCAAAGCATTATACTGCAAAGGCAATTCATATCAGGTCGCTTCTAAATTCGAGATAAGCTCTATACCTGAGTATCAAAGTAGCTGTGGAGAAGGATTTGGAGAGGACTGTTGCCTGATGAGCGCTCGTAAGCTTCGTGGAGGCCACGAATATACACGGCTAGAACAACATGAGCTCAGAGCATCGTTGAAAACAAAAATGTACCTTTGAAGCCAACTCCGTCGTTGTTACTGCCAGGACTAGCACCTTCGGTGATGATACCGTCACTGCCTTGCCAAGGACCGGATTTCACACCAGCGACGAGGATATTGTTCATCCTGTCCATACCGTCAAACAAGGTCAGAAAGTTCAGATTCAGACGTACAGAGAAGTCCACGAGGAATCGCCTGTGATAGCAGCAAGCACCGAAAGGCCTTCGATGTATTTGCCAGTATTGTAAGTAAAGATCCAAGTCGCAGGAGACCGGCTGCAGTCTTTAGCATTGACGGTATCAAGGATGAGGTTTGCCGAATTTATCTGGAGACTTTTCATCCAGTTCGCAGCTGCGAGAGCAGCGGTCTTGTACTTGGCATCGCCGGTGGTTTCAGCGAGGAATGCAGAAAGACTGATGAAGGATTAGTCGACGACAATGATTTCAAATAAGCCGTCATACGTTAAGAATAAGCTAGAAACAAACAAAAATGTTCATTAAGTCCGTTGACGGTGAAACAGGACACGCGCACCCTGTGGTGATCGAATTGATACCCTGATCATCGGAGGTAGGACGCTGTAACAGATTAATTAGCACGAGATTGAAACGGTTGATGGAATTGGTTACCCAGAAAACACCGCCAGCCATGGTATCTACGTGACCATTAGACAAAGTGTCGAGAAGACATGAATAGACCTACGGCCTTCACATGTGGACTGGATGGCGAACGATTTGCCTGGAATCGAGTGAGCATTCGCTTGGGCCTGTGTAACTTGGCTGTATTCCTAGTCAGCTCCGTTTCGAGTCCGATTAGACTGACTGACAAAGCAGAAACGCGATTCCAAACAGCTTCCGCATGAGAAAGCATGGTTTGGTCCTGCGAGATCATAAGTTTCGAAACCGTCCGATGCGAATGTTATGTTACCTTGTATGCCCGGTAAGCATAGAAAGCGGATGTCGCCCACCACCTGAAACGGGTCAGCAAATTACAATTTGAACCCTGAAGGAGCCCTTACATCGCATCGTCGTTGAACTAGACCACAGTCAGCTGCGGAAGCAATTGCAGAACTGCGATGACGCTCACCCCGAATTGGTCGTAATTGGCAAAGAGACTGAAGGCCTTGTTCATGTTCGCAAGGACGGCAGCTTTGTTGACAGTCGTTCCAGCGAGACGGTCTTGATTTGCCAGGACACCCCAAACATTTCCAGCTTGCCAGAATCCGATACCTATGACGACACTCAGCCAGCGCTTGCGATGGAGTAAGGAAGCTGCTCACCATTGATCTGGCCTGTACTGCTATCTACCTGTGGCAGAAAAGCATTGATGGCATTCTGTGCAATGCTAACACGCTCTGCAAAAAGCCGGCTGTTGGAGAATTTCTAGCAAGAAAGAATCACTGGTTCGAACGGGAATGAAAGCTAGAGCGAAAGCTACTTACCCTCCATGACAAGGGGACACCATAATCTTGAGCGTAGACTGAAGTGACAGTAATGAGGGAGATGAGGCCGATAAAAGTCGAGTGTAATACCATTGTGGAAGGTATAATTGGGGGCCATCAAGGATTAATTTTTGGTATTTAAGCATTTGAACGGCGTTTCAGATCAGCTGGATACGCTGACCAGTCACTGGCCCGGGATTTGGGCCCATGACGATATATCATATGCAGGTTCTTGACAAGCCTGCATGGAACCAGCCAGACGGGGTTGATGGTGTTCAGCTGCCGCTTCGCCAAGCAAAAGGAAGATTCAATGTCTTTCGCCGTGAAAATATGACGCTGCTGAGCTCATTGGTGGGAAGAGAGCAGGAGGCAACAACAAACCAAAACATTCGATCACGCGAAATCACGGGCCGGTTCATAGGCTCGACTTACCCCCGCATTCTCATACAGTCCTCCACCAGTGCTGGCAGTCGACGAATCTGTCATATATATATATACGCAATCAATCCAAGGCACCTCCAATTTCTTCTCAGATCAAGGTGCGCAGAATACTTATTTGAAAATAATGCCAGTCTCTGAGTCATGGTGCACAAAAATGATAGTTGGGCACAAATAACCTGATAGAACCTGGTCCAGGCAGTCCGTACAGTTTCTTTACGCTTTCCGTTTCATCGGAATGCACAGGCAAAAGGAATCCATCGACAAATACTACGAGCGACTGAGGCAAGCCCGTGAAAAAAAGGCTCTGGGTCCTCTGGAAATGGCCGGAAAGACTCCTATTATCGTTTTGCCCAATGGAATCCAGAAAAAAGCTCTGTTTGTTCGTCAGACCCCGATTCTTGGAGAAAAGAACGTTCCCCGGGTTTTCACGACCAGAAGACTGGACGGCAAAACGAAAAATGGCGTCGCCGATAAAGGTTCTCTCATGAAGCTGGTAGATTCGGCTCGTGTTTCGGTGAGTGAAGCTCAGATCAAGCTTGAACCTGGATCTGTAGCAACTGCCCTCACTGACTCGTCGCCTAGCGCTGTTCTTCCCTCTGCACCATTTGCTCTGGTAACGATCTTCGTCAAGTTCTAACACTGGAAGTCGAATATCAGCAGCTACAGTGCCTGCTTCGGCAGAACTGTCATCCAGATCGCTCGCCGACGTCCGAGTCTTCTGCTCTTCCCCGGCTCCTCTCTTCCGCGCACGACGATTTAAAGTGCTGCTCTCAAGAGATTGAGAAAGGGCAATCATACATATCTGTGCTCCAGAAGAGTCAGAAGGATCTCAAGATCTACCTGGAAACCAATGCACCACACTGCAGCTTCCGGATTCGGGAACCCCCACCTGAACTTGCAATGTAAGTAATACAATTTCCTTCTCTCCGTAAAAATCGAACTAACCTCGAATAAAAAGCTCTTCACTCGCTTGCCCCAATTGCTTTGGCGACATTTTACAGTCCGTTTCATCAATGAAATCCCGATGGAACTTGCTGCGTTCATTTCAACAAGCCAACTACCATCTCTCGCGATCTGCACCCGCTGTCGCTCAGCTCCTTTCTTCGATAAAGCACGCCATGCAACTCTGCGAGAAGGAGATTGCAAGATACGATTTTGAAAACCTTTCACCGCTCCGGACCCACTCCAAACTTCTATCCCGTCTCGTTTCAGGATATGAGTCCATCACCGCACCTATTCGAAAGCTTTCCAACGAGTTGCTTTGCGAGATATTCGTTCATGTTGGAAAGGAGAATCGGTTTGATAAAGAAGGAATCATAGTCCCTGGCCTCGTCCTGGAACAGGTTTGCAGCTCTTGGCGTGCTGCCTCGAATATCAAGGAGCTTTGGCAAGAAATTAGTCTTGACACGACCGATTGCTCCAATTTCCAGAGGTGGCTCCCAGCTGTCACTCTCATCTTGGAGAAATCCGAGATCTATCCGTTAACGGTATCAGCAAATATCAGGAAGCACGAACCAGATAATGTATGGCTTGTTTTGCGAGCTCTTGCGATGCAGTCGCATCGCTGGGTGGACTTGACAGTGGACTTCAGCCGACCTCACCCGAATTTGTCGTTCACCGCGCAACGACTTACTCTCGAACTCGCGGACATCAAAGGGAACCTCCCTGTTCTTCATTCCCTGTCTCTGCGTCCCGAGTTCGGCAATATGATACCGGCGACACTTGCAAATCTCTTCGCGATTGCACCGCAACTTCGCACAGTGACCATCCCTGATCTAAATCCACGGGAGGTGAGTTCGATGCCTTGGGGAAAGATGCAAACCATCACAGTGGAAGATCCCTGTAAACCTCTCTATGTGTTATCGCACTGCCCACAGCTGGTAAATCTCCACCTCCGACTGGGACAAACAGCATTTTCAGAAGAGCCCAGCTTGAAAATTACATCACCTCTGCGTTGTCTGATACTGAAAATCAAGAACAACAGCAATAGCTTACGACCGCTATCCAACTTGACATTGCCAGCCCTCCGGTCTCTTTCGATTCGGCCACCAGGCGACCTTGGCTCGCTTGAATCATTGACTCGGATCGGGGATATCGAATCTCTGATCATCCGATCACGCTGCGCGCTCACCAGCCTTTCCTGGACCAACATGTCCGTGGAATTCACTCAGTGGATCTCATTTCTCAGGCTCTGCTCGTTCGATTCACTCGAAACATTATCAATCGTCGAGTCTGTCCTTGGTGACCGCCTTGCCAGTCTCCACTTCTTCGACGAGCTCTGTGGGTGTCCGGGGGCTTCTCCGATTCTCCCAGCACTACAACATCTTTTCATCGACGACCAGTATGGCACACCATTCTTTTCGACGGGATCGATAATATGTGCATTGGAGTCTCGGCGCCTGGAAAACAAAATCGATGTCCGACGTTTGAAATCTTTCAAACTTGAAGTCTGCGAAACATCCTTCCCGGCTGAATGCGTCCCTAGAATGCAGAAACTTGTCGATGGTGGGCTGGAGATGTTTATTCGAGATAAATCGGGCATTGTTTTATGTTCTTCGTCCTTCAGATATGTAGATAAACATGCTGCTTGTTAACTGAAGTATAGAGTTATTAATCCAGATAAATTGGTTATGATTTTACAAACTACTGCAAAAGCCAAGCACCGAGATCTTATGACTATCTCACTTACTATTATG